GCCGCTAGCATACCTTTAACAAGACACTGGTAGCACCCATTTAAATGTAAATATGATGTATTTTTATGTGTAAGTACGCCTTTGTTTGGCTGTTTATATTTGTAATAAACTGAGGGCTGTACTACAAAGCAGGTTTAACATATTCAGGCTTTGTTTGTGTTAGGTGGTTCAACAAAACCTGAAACCCCAATCAAATATAATGGATATCTTCTTCCTTTACTAACCAGGAGTTCTTCTTCAAACTCTGAGCATGCGCCGATAAAAAGGGCGTTTGAATCACTGCTTGACTGACCTCGATCTAGTTTTGCACAAAATAATTCGATCACATGCCGCCTGTCTCCGTCAACAGGTTGTTATGATGGAGAATTGTGAAAAAAAGTATTTAAAAATGATTGTGGTTATTGACTGAGCAGAGGGATATCAATAATTAATTGTTACCGTTAATAAATTAGCCAAATAAAAGTATATTGACCAGGCAGAAGACGAAGGACATGCATATCAGAAAATGTATCACAGATCAGCAGTAGTACCCGGTTGTGCCACCTGGTGGAGCATCTTTGTGTTTAATACCGGAGGAGGTGGTCACTTAAATCACAGGTAGCTCCATGTTGGCAGGCGGAGATTATTGTGGGAGTTTAGTTAGCAACGGGCACCATGACAAAGACTTATGCAGCCATTAATGGACTCAAGGCCAGAGCTCATTTATTCAAGACAAGCAGAACAGGTGGCAAAAATAACCAACCCACACCAGTGGTTAATATCACATGTCTGCATGAACAGTAACTATCCATTCATGGAATCATGTCCACTGCCTTTCATTTCTTTTAATGATTAATCAATTGCTGACTGCCAATGCTGCCTATAATCAGCTACAAAAACTATTCAAAGTTTGCATCCCGAAGAGACCGATGAGTTTTCTAACCTGTGTTCTGGGCAGCAAATAACGACCAAACATTTAAAAATATAAACATCAGCTGAATGCACGGAGGTTCCCGACGTAAAACGGTGTACATAGTTTACACAACTGTAAAGCTTCGTTCAGTGGCTCCTGCATCAGCCTCCATCCCCCCTACGTCAAGTCTGTCAGTCCTGTGGAACAATCCAATAAAATACTATCGATGTTTCAAGGGAGAGATCGTCTGAAAATGAACATGGTTGACGACAGAGCTAAAAAACCAGCTCTGTGACCAACCCTAAAATCATGGTCCTAGAAATTCTGAGCAACATTCGAACGCATCGGTCCATATCTGAGCAATCACCAGACGTCACTTTTTGATCAAACAGCCGATGAATGAGGTCAAAAACAGCAACTGATGGGCAACATAACACAAAAGGCTCATTTCTGATTCCTGTATCCACCACAAAGAAGCAAAACCAAATGTCTTTTACACTCATAAAGGTCAACAAATGGAGCTTTAGCTGCAAAAGCCACTGATGCAGAAATCACAAACCAAACTTTCCATGCAGACAACATGGAAGAATGTGCTCGTTTATGCAAACACTGTAAAGCACGCATATGTTTTCGCACGTGTTGGATTTTCAACATCTGCTCACGAAGACGACGTCTTCACTGAATATCATTTCAAATGGATTTTTGGGGGTTTTGGGCATTCGGAGGTCATTTATTTACTTATTACAAGTTAAATAAAGAGATTAACTGGTTATGCGCATGTTTAATTTGGCTGTTTTTTAAAATTTCGTCACTGCAAAGAGGATTTATTATCTTCCTACACGAACATATAAAGATAAAAGTCAACAATTTCCCAGAAATTCTTCATTTTCCAGCAACTGCTGAGGTGCTAATTGGAGCTGCTGATGGGTTATTTTATTCAACACCAGCAGGGAAAAAAAGGTGTAGAATCTGCTGACTGCTGGTAATGTCAGCATTAAGAGAACCTTCCGGCTGCTCTCATGCAATTATAACAGTTTTATAATTCGAGCCAGAGAAAATAGCTGCGAGTGGATCCACTCTGCTGCATCACCGTCTGAACGTGGAGCGAAATGTCGGAGAGTAATTGAATTATCTTCAGGCCCACAGTCTGAATTGTTGACGGTTGAAGGAGGATTTTGAATGCGTGTTTGTTATTTTATAGAGCTCATGTAAAAACTTAAAGACCAAATTTTAGCACCAAACTTTAGACAGTTTTAAATTCAGCAGCTCAGATTGAAGAGTTCAGGTCAAAACGAAGACCAACCACCAGCTGCAGGAACCAGTTCATCAACATGCAGCATTTTTCACTGCAAGGCTGTGCAACAGCGCAACACCTCCCCAACCTCACCCTCATCATCACCCTCCTCCTCACCCTCATCATCACCCTCCTCCTCACCCTCATTTTCACCCTCATCCTCGCCCTAGTTCTCGCCCCACCTCAGCTGCAAAATCTGGAGACCTGCTGCCTTCGTTTTCAGCTCTCACAGGAGCGTCTCACCAGAGCTGGACTAAAGAGGAATTATTTGCTGTCGGGATCATCTGAGCGACTCTTAAAACAAAAAAAGCTGCTGCAGGCCTGAAAACCGGCCTGAAGAAACGTCAAATTTAGGATCTGTGCAGCTGAAAGCCGCCGTCATGGCGCTGCCAGCATAGATACAGACTCATGATGCATCTGAGAATAGAAGGAGAGCAGCAGGATGAAGGGAGCTGAGTGTAGATCTGCATGTTTCAGTAGTTTTATTTAAAACAAACGCACATTTAGCTGCCTTTGGACTCACTACTTCCTGATTCAATTTAAACTTTTCCCATTTTTATTTCATGTATCTGAGCTTCTGTGCTTCTCTTTAGCCGACATTTCACATCTCGGACAAGAGTCTCCTCTCCTGGCTGATGTTACTTGTCCTCCTCGGTGATTTTAATCCAGTCCAGAGCTCATATGTGACTAATTCCTCACCTCGTCCTCCCTCAGCAATAATTACAGCTGAAATCACCTCCTGTTTTCTTGTGAACTCGCTGCTCCTGCTGGGATTTCAACCCAGTCCTCCACTTTGTAATTTAAAGTGAGTTTTTAGTCACAGACGACAGAAACGAATGAACGTCAGCTGCAGCTTCTGTCTGTTTCCAGCCGGGATTCGTGTAGATTTTGGTAAAATGGTGCCGTTAAAAGAAGCCACATTGTCCATCAGCACTTTTCTGTTTGTGGTGCACATGTGGATGCTCAGATGAACCTCAACGGATCGCCGTGGACCTGAAGAAAACTGTAAAGGTGTGAAATTCTCAAGCAGGTTCTGTGATTTAAAGTGGGCTTATGGAAGTTTATTGTTCGTCATCACAGAGGCGATGTGCATAAAGTAAATGTTTTTAAAAATTCCACAGATGACGCCCTCAAAAGTAATTTCAATTAAAAACTTCCTCTTGTGTTCCACAAAAAGTCTAAACCGTCTGTTCATCAACCTGAATGTGATCATTTTCTGCAGTGAACAACGACTGAAACCTGCTTCTGCTGTCGGGAAACTCCCAAAGAGACTCATTCATGTAAAGAACATAAATGCAAAACACAATATTTCCTTCTAAAATATTCCTCTCTGTTGCAAATCCAAACACAACGTCAACGCGTGAGCAGCTGGAAATCCAAAACCGCCACATGAAACATTGAAAAGCAGAAAATCCAACAAACGTTTTACTATTATTGTTTGATAACCAACTTTAAAACCTTTGTCCATGAACTCATTGATAATTATGATTTATATGCTTTCACACAGCGGCAGACGAGCTAATTGTTGAGATTAATGGTGACAAATGGAGGTAAATCCAACCTGAAGCCGCTGTGTTCTAATGAAGAGTCAAAGATCCATCAATCGACTGTTCAACAAACAACGACTGAAACCTGCTTCTGCTGTCGGGAAACTCCCAAAGAGACTCATTCATGTAAAGAACACGTAATATTTCCCTGTAAATGTCGTAAACATGAAGCAGAACAAAATGCTAACAGCTCAGTAGAACACAAGCAGCTGAACGAGTCGCAGAAAATCCAACCAACAAGCTTTGTTCTTGCTAAATGACTAAAATCAAAACTTTTGAAGTGGACTCACTAATTATTGTGATTATTGTGTAACTACACGGCTGCAGATTTGCTAAATATTTGATTTAAAGCTGACGAAAGAAAATTATTTCAGCTTGACCGACAACAAAAAGTGAAAAATCGATTAATCGACGGTTTGTCAAACTGCCTGTGATCAGTTTCTGCACCGGCGACGACTGAAACTCCTTCTGCTGTCAGGAAAGTCCCAAAGAGACTCATTCATGTAGAGAACAGAAATAAAACGCTGCATTATTCATCAGATGATCGAGCTGCAGCAGAAACACGCTGATCTACCTGCTCTGAGCTGCATGTTGTGCAACCAGGCGCCTTCACTTTGGACTTGTTGGAAAACAGGCAGAGGGAGAAAAAAACAGAGCTGCTTTCACTGCAGCTGGGCTTTTATATCCTGCAAGAAGCTGCCTGATCTGTCAGAGACCTGCTGCTGCCCTGCAGGGGGGCAACAGTGCTGCAGGGGGGCAGCAGAGGGGTCAAGGCTGCACATCAGGCAGCAGCGGTTTGACTTCCTGCTCCTGAACTCAGCAGCACCTCAGAGTCTATTCTTAGATTCCCATCTTGTCTCCCACCAGCACAAATCTGCAGCAATAGTGAACCCTGACAGCTGCCCCCCCTCCCCACGCGCCCCCCGCCCCCCCGCCATGCACCGCAGCATGCAGATCTGCAGCCTCGATCAGCTGCATCAACTCGTGCAGAGTTTATTCTAAAGTGTCCTTGTTCGTCTCGTGACTGTTGCAGCTCACCATCCCTGCGTCAGTGCGCGCGTGCACGCACACAGACACACACTCGCGCGCGCGCACACAGCATCGTCTTACCAGGAACTGTGCAAAGAGGAACATGTTAACCAGGAAATGCAGCCGCTAAGTTGAAAGGAGCTGCGCCGTGCTCGAGCTGCAGCGCTGCAGGCTGCACGCTGCAGCACTGATTGCACGGCTCGGCTCGGCTCGGCTCGGCTCGGCTCCGTGTTCTTACCTCCCTTCGCCTGAGACATTTCCCCTCTGCTCTGATGGGGGGGAGGGGAAGCACAAAAGACTTTGCCTTCTTTCTCGCTCCCTCCCTCCATCGTCGCACTGGAGCTTCAGCGGCTCGCTTCTGCAACAAAGATGCAAAATACGAGCCTCGATCTTCATGCACTTGGAGGCTTCGTGCGTCCGAAGCGTGCGTGTCCGTGCACGGAGCGCCGGGACGGATGCACGGCCCCCGCAGGCGTCGGGAGAAGCGCTAATTTCTGCAAATGCGCTGCAAAGAATTCTCCGCAGCACTTACATGATGGGCCAAGGCTGGCAGCTGAAAGCTCCTAACTTGGATCAGTGTGAGCCCCTGCGAGAGAACGTTCTTCCTGCTTGGAGCGCGGGGGCTTGTGGGAAATGTAGTGCTGCAGGCGGCTGTACGTTAGAGCAGACTTAAAGCTGTTTAAGAGGAAACGCTGCTGCAGCTCAGCAGACAGATCTGATCAGGAAACTTTATCGGTGTGTGAGTCGCAACAAGACTGTTTTATTTTATCACAAGTTCACTGAATGTTGTGTTAAAATATGCAAATGAGGCCTTTTTCTTATTGTGCACTTTCAGCATCATAAAATCAGCCTTTATTAATCCTCCTGTGGGGAAATTTCCAATGTTACAGCAGAAAAGATTGAATGAATGGAGTCTAATAATATAATATGCACAAGCACTAGTTCTACAGAATAACATCAGTGGTGCTACATGGTTTTGGGATGAATATAAATAATGATATTAGTAATATTTATGTTTTCATGTGCAGTATAACTTTACTACCTTAGTATTATTGCCGGTGTTACTTCTCTATTCCAGTCTTAGTTTATTTATTGTATTTTGAATAATGTACTATAGTTGTTTCTATTAGGCGTTACCTTTATTCTCATGTTATCTTGCAAGTTATTGACAATTTAAAAACAAAAGTTTTCTCCGTAAGTCAGAAAACGTCGTCAACAGCCATAAAAAATACAGAATGTTTGCAATGTTTTCATAGCAGGGAAAAAACAGTGTTACTGAAATGACAAATAGACAAAACGCAGTAAACTAAACACCTGTATGTATCCTGGGCTCAGTGTTACAGTGTCATAAATACTGAATGTTGAATTTTGTTGATTATTTATTCCACGAAAATTAAAAAATTCAACAATGTTGTGAGCGTCCACAAGTTTTATCGATAATAGAACAAATGGATGTTCCACCATGTTGGATGTAACAACCTGCTCCTCTGGTCACTGGTTCTGAGACGTGCTGCATTTATTTATTGATCCAGTAGGTTTGATTTTCCAGTCTCTCTGTGGAAACACTGCCTGCAGTCCAGACAAAAACGTCTAGTTTTAGATGAAATATCACAAATTTAAGCCTTTTTGTTTTAACCATGTCATTACAGACCCTTAGAAGTCTAAAAATCCAAAGATTCTTGTCATTTCTTGCTCTGATAAATGTGTAATTGTGGCGATTTTTATGAGGACAACAAATCAAGTTTGGGCTCCAGAGGGTTCCATGTTTTTTCTTTTCCAAATCAACAGTCTGAAGTTTGAAGGTCTTGTCTGTGGTCAATTAACAAACTTTAAATGTTTTTTGTCTGCATAAATGAAGCTTTTATTTTTATGTGAGACTGTTTTTTTTGTTCCTCTAAATAATGAATTTAATGAACTAAATGAGCAAAACAACACTTTCTTAAAGGTCAATCAGGACAATTCAGTTTAGTTTTAAAACTTCAGTAAAAATCTTTATTATCAGGTAACATCGATCAGGCAGGAACAACAATCACACTAATGAATCAGCTAACAGTCATTTCTACTGCGGTGCAAACGTAAATACAGCTTTGTAAATAAATGATGACATAAAAGTACAAGAAAAGTGTAAAAAGTTCAGTCGGATGAACATTTGGTGCCCAGCGAGCTTTGATTTGATGATCTATTGATCAGCCGTGAGCCTAAAATTACACAGAACACATTCTAGTGACAATGTTTTAAATATAATCGCTAAAATGAATTTAAACATGTCAGAAAGCTTTTTAACAAACCCTCAGATCAACGCTCGCTGGGTGATGAAAGACAGCTGCGACCCCTTTAGTGTAAATGGGGCGAAATAGCACCAATATTAAAGAATAAAACAACAAAACTGTGGCAGGAACAAAACCTCAAACATAAAGAACAAAGCCGGTGACACTCGACACTTTTCTTATTGTCAATAAACCCAATGAAAAAACTCACAAATCTCCTCCAGCAGCTGGTATTGTGGTTGTTTCAGCTAAAGTTGGAGGAAACAGTGAATTTGTTCGGGACTATTTTCAGTGGCGGACGAATCCAGACTTTGGGTTTATTGTCAAGAAGAAAAAAGGTGCCACATTTGATTTTTCACCCTCATGAATGAAGTTCTGGTTGTTGATGATCCGAACGTCACAGCGAGGAGGATTCACGTCCTCGACCCCACGGTGGGATATGAGGGTCAGTTCTTGGTGCTGATCAGGGTTTGGTAGAGCGGCTTCACCACCACGTGGAGCAGCAGCGAGCTGTCCAGCAGGTACTCGGACGTCCGGCGGTACAGGTCGGCCTCGGCCAGGAAGTCTCCGTTCTCCTCGGTGCTCTGGTGGAAGTTGTAGACGTGCCTCACCACCACCTTCCCCTGCTGCTGCGCCATCACCACCACCGTCTTCTGGAAGTTCACCCCGGCGAAGTCGGCGCTGGACGTGGCCGGCGTGATGATGATGCGAGGCCGCCCTCCCTCCACCCGGGTCGGCTGCATGGCGCCGGTCTCGGTGTACATGGGCCTCATGCTGAGCGGCAGCCAGCGCGGCGAGAACAGGGCGTTCCAGGTGACCCGCTTGCTGGCGTCGTGGCTGCTGGGCCCGAGCTGCGTCTGGAAGCTGGTGCTGCGGTCGTCCCGGGTCGGGTTGTTGATGATCCAGGGCGAGCCCCACATGGGCGACAGGTAGTTCCTCGGCACGAAGAGGCTGCAGTTGACGTCGAAGTATTTGGCCATCTGCAGCGGCGAGGCGGAGTGGAACTGGTAGGACATGTAGAGCAGGTCGCGCACCGACTCCTGGTACCGAGCCAACACCGAGGACTGGGTCTGCAGCCGGAACAGCTCCCGAGGCGTCATCATGGCGTAGCGCACCGCCCGCAAAGCGTTCTCCGCCGTCAGGCCGTCCGGCTCGTTCTGGAGGATCCAGGCCTCCAGGGCGGCGAACAGCTCGGCTTCACTCTGCAGGATGAGATCGGACCGCTGCAGCAGCGACATGAGCAGCTGGCTGCTGATGGCGACCCACTCGCCGCTCTGCAGAACCGACGAAAGGTTCCAGGCCATGAACTGCAGGCAGCTGTCCCTCAGCGTCACGTCGCCGGCCTGCAGGGCGTACTCGTACCAGCCCGCCACGTGGCCCGACGGGGAGTCCCTGGCCAGGTTCTGGGTCATGTACTGGGTGATGCCCTGCTGCAGGCCCAGAACCTGGTACTTAGTGGCCAGTTTGTGCAGAGGGATGGCCTGATCCAGACGCAGAGAGATCTCTCCACAGTACAGATACCTGCACACAGAGAAGACTGAATGTAGGAGCTGAACTCATCTCCGTACAACAACAACACAAAGCTGGTTCTACGGCGGAACGCTGCAAGATGCTGTACGGCCTCAGAACCAAAAGCAACCACAAGAACCGTAGAACCTCCTTCATTTTAACAACAAATCAAATGTCTGAGCAAATGAGGTCATTCGGGGAGACTCTGCAGCTCCACGGCACGACTGATTGGGTTCAGTACTTATTCCAGTTCTTAAAGAATTTATTCCAGGACTGGTACTTTTGAAACGCTGCTATGCTGATTAGTTAAAGCCGGAAAGATGAATGCTATTGAACTAGATATAAGCACAACAAGCAGCATTTTCCTGCCTGTCGATGTCTTGGTCCAGGATCAGTCCTCTGACCTCTAACATCACCTTCAGCAGAGTCACATCCTCCACATACGCTCACAGAACAAACCTCCAGGACGCTACTTCCTCCATAAAACCTGAGTCAGGTCCACAGTTTGTTGTTGTTTTGATGCACCTGGAGTTAAAGTCAGATTTGTCAGACTGTACGCCACGCAAACAGAAAGCTGTTGAAGTAAAACCTGTTTTCACGTTAAATATCAAAAGTGAGAAAACGGGTCCATTTCAGTTTTTCCATTTTAAACCAACAACAACAACCAAACAGAAAACGGATCTACGTTTCTGTTTTCCTGATGTCCTGTCTGACAGTCTGACACATGGGGACTGGTTCTTTGGGTCTGATACAATCCTCGTAGTCGTCTTTCTTTTTTCTTGTGTGTTTCGTTTTCGGCGTCTCTCAGGAATACAGATGACACTTTTCTATCTTCATTCATTTTAACCACATTCGGACCCATTTTAAAGCTGCTAAACCAGTTTTTTGGCCCCTTGGAACTGCAACAACCTTTATTTTACAGAATATTTACATTCTGATGTTAGCAAACAGGTCCAAGAGAGACAGGATGGGATTTCTTCTTTTTTCTATGATTATTATTTCTGACAAACAAAAGCTCTTCTAAAGGTAAACTAACATTTAGAACGCTAACTACTGCTCTGACAGACTTTAGCTTGGAAGGCCGGCTGTAGTCCGTCCACCCAGTCAGAGGTTAGAAACGGTTCTGGTGTTGTGTCATTGGCTGAACACGTGGACTAAACCCACCAATAGCTGCAGCTCATATCTGCTCAGCAGATAGGCGCTCGTGTTGACATTAGCTCAAAGTGACCAGAGACCAAACAGAAACCAAACCCAGGAGCTAAAAGCTGCTGTGGAGCTGCAGAGTTGATTCATTAACATGAAACCGCCGGTTTGAAGTCTAGACTGACTAAACAAAGTCTCGCTTAAGTTTCAGGTTCAACACTTTGTGAAGGTTCAGGAACTGAAATGTTTTCTGCAGCGCTGTGAGACATTTCAACAACCTTGTGTTTGTAGTTTGAGGCCGTCAATGATCAGGATGAAGCAATCTGAGAGGTTTTACAACAACGTGAGCGTTCAGAGGGAGTTTGTGGAGTTTTGTGCTTTCAGCTGCTGTTCAAACACAAACTACAACCAAGTGGAGGATCTTCACCAACGGCTGAACAACATGCAAAAGAAAAACTACAAATGTTTGATTTCAGTTTCAGTCTTTTCCTCTGAAACAAACATAGAAATGATGATTGTAGCTGCAGTCTGAACCAAACATGCATGTTTCCCTTCATCTGGACAACATGACTGTAGCTGCAGCACCACAGCCCTTCATTTACTACAGCGAGCTGTGACACATTTAATGATAAAACTGCAGCGTCTGTGATCTGGATATGCAGAGAAAATATCTTTGTTAATACCAGGTAACCTTCGGGGCGGCTTGGTAAATACAGTTCCTCGGTGGAAACACACATTTTGTCTTAATTAATGTCAAAGCAGCTCTTTACAAGTCACTGTGAGAAAAGGCCCTGAGCAGTTTGTCAGTTTATCTGCTGCAGCTCAGTTTTTGATTAACCTTGTTAGAATGTGAGATAAAAATAGAGCTTGTTATTGATTTCTGCTGCAGCTCCTCACTGTTTTTGCTGAAACTCCACAGGAGCTGCTATTGAGCCACCGGCAGCGTGTTTCATGTTGAACTCTGCATTGATTGTTTGTCCCAGATGTGAAGCTGCAGCTGCACAGTTCAAACCTCTAGAGGGCATCACGAGTCCATCAGCCCGTCTAATGGACTCGTCAGTGTGTTCCCTTCAGTCTGGAGGGATTTTCTCACCCAATGAACTTGATTTTCTCACCTGATGAACCTGTCGAACACGGCGGCGCAGTCGGAGTTTTCCCTCAGCACCATCACGCTGGTGTTGCGGTTCAGCAGCATCTCCTCGAACACGGAGCTCTGCAGGGACAGAACCAACGAGTGGACCTGGATCACCTTCACCTCGTCGGCGTTGGGCGTCTCCACCCGCAGGGACACGTCGCTGCCGTTGCCTTGAGCCAGCAGAGCCTCCAGACGCTGCACCAGGATCAGGGAGTGGCTGATGGTGTCGCTGCCGCCACCGCCACCGTCCTGCGACCCGTCGACCTTCAGCATGCCTACAGAATAATGGATACAGAATGGCCAGGTCGTTATTGTAAATGAGAATCTGTTCTCAATTAACCTACCTGGTTAAATAAAGGAAAAATAAAATAATAAATAAATAATCAGAATTAAAATAAAGACACACGTACACTGTAAAGGGAAACATATATATATATATATATAAACAGGAAGCATGTGTGGCAGCAAAAACACCTGAATAAAGAAGGACTGTTGTAATATTCAGTGATGTTTAAAACACAATGTAAATTCTTTTTATTTTAATATTTAACATGTAATTTTTTTCCTGGTTATTTCTCTCAAAATTTGTCCAATATCTGTAAAATTGTGTTTATTTTCTGTTGTAAATACAAGTAAATACTGATTTTTTTATTTTTTTTTTAACATGCACATTATTTGCACATAATTTCTAGTTCTTGCCTATAATCTAACAAAACAGTAAAATTGGAAAAATAAATGTTAACAATACATATAAAAAAACAAAACCTTAATACACTTTTTTTTTTTTTAAATAATGGTAAATATCTGTAAAATGATTATATTTTATACTGTTGTAATTTTCTAAACGAACAAATTACTATTTGTAAAAATACATATTTTTACTGTGACCTTTTTTTAAACCTGTTTTTTTCAGTCAATGTGTACATTTATGTTTTTTTATGTGTAAAATAATCATTAAAATTCGTTTTGTATTTTAAAATCTTAAATATACACCATCTTTATTTTCTATTTTTAAAAACAAGCAAAAATCTGTAAAACTGTGATATTTCTGCTGTTTTATATCCTGTAAAAATAGTTTCATTTTCTGATCAAATGTTGTAAAAGAAAGAATTAAAATTTGTAAAAAATACAGATTTTTTTTTAGACTTTATTTACAGTTTTGGCCTGTTTTTGTGTGTGTGTGTGTGTGTGTGTGTGTGTTTATATAAATGTGTTCAATGCATAACTAATATTTTTTTGTGATTTTAGTAAATATAATCTGTAATTTTGGAAAACTGCCAACTAAACCAAAACAATTACAGTTAAAAACTGGTTAAAAAAAAAACATGTTTTTTTTTTTGTTTTTTTTACAGTGTACTGAAAATGCATCTCAGTGAATAAACCGAAACGCTGCAGACAAACAAAACCGAGTTGCCTGAGAGTTTACTGGGGCAGATAGAGGAGCAGCGTGGTGCAGATCCATGACATTGATCAGAACAGCTGCTGTCTGGATAATGAGGGATTGTGGGTCATGTTTAATTAAAGCTTCCTCCTCCTCCTCCTCCTCCTCCTCCTCCTCTCTGCTACTGTAACGGCAGGGATGTGAGCTTCGATTCAAACCAGAAAACTTCCTCTTTTTTGATTCTCCATAAATATTTGACACTTCCTTTCCAGCTCCGATGCAAACACAGCGACGTGAACTCTTAAATCAGTCAACAAGCTGCAGGAAAAACAGTCCAGAGGCTCCAAACGTCGTCCAAAGAAGACGCGTTTGGTGAGTTTTATACCAAACAGCAGCAGTCTGTCAGCGAACATGAAGCCTCGGCCACTTTCTTCAGAACTGTATACAAATGACTGAATATTGTGTTGCACTTTTGAACCACAAGATTCAATTTTTTAGCTGCTCTGTAGCTTCTGATGCCACAAATTTAACAATTTGTTGAGTATTTCTGCCACTTTCTCTTTTTAAAACTGACATTTTGCTTCTGTTAGCTGGTAATTCAATGAAAATAATAAAACCCATTTGAAATGACGTAACTACTGTCTCACGTAGCGTAGCACACGTTGCACTAGACGTAATTTATGCGATACTGGACAGAACATCAAGTCATGCAGATTAACGCACAAATAAACAAGCTGCTTATTAAACAGTGTAAATAACTAAGAACACTGACAGTCTGTCCATGTGTGATGATAATCTGCTTTACCAACAGTGTGACCTGCTGGTAGATCCTCATAGAGCCTCATAGAGTCTCCAAGTCAGGGATTGTTTATGATTTGAAAGAATTCATAAAATGATGCATAAATGTGAGCAGCTCCCTCTCATGTGGATCCTCCGGTTGTCTGATGCCAAAGGGAATTTAATAAACTCAGAGGAAAGACTCCTGAACAACTGGAAGCAACGAATTACAGCTACTGACTCTGACATTTTTATAGATATGTCAGTGAAATGCTGACAAATCCATGAATCCCTTCACGCTGCACAAAGTACATCATTATCTTGCAGCAGCACGCAGCTTCGCCTCCTGTCGTATTGAAAGTGATACGGAAATGCTCTTTTGTAAGATCATGGTCAGATAAGTGAGCAGGATGTTCATTCAGAGATGAAGTCGACACGTTTAGATGCCGTCAGATGAACAGAAAAGAGGGCAGGTCTTAAATACACTGCAGAGAAACTTAAATGTACGTAAACGAGCCTCCTTTCAGTCAAGAAAAAGGGCAAAACTTCCCTTCTTTTCCCTTTTCTGGCACTTTCTTCCCTCTTTAATCACATTTCTTTAGGAGAGTCCCTCCTCTGAACGCTGCTAGCATCAGCCCTTTAGATGCACTAAGCTTTCTCTTTACAGGTGCGTCTGCAGCTGACTCACCTGCAGCAGCAGCAGCAGCCTCCAGCTGAAGCCACACGGCCACAAACAGCATCCAAACGCGAACGGCCACTTTCAGCATCTCGCCTGCTGCCTCTGGATCCTGCTGCCTCTGGATCCTGCTGCCTCTCTGCAGACGACGAGGTGTCTGAATGTGGGACAGATTCTTCTCCTCGCCACATCCGGCCCACCGCCATCGATCGGTGGGTGGAAACAGGCCGAGGTTATTTCCATGATCCTGACTTTCCTATCCCAGGGTATCAGCCGGCTGGGCGGCATTGATCCGCTGAGGAGCCTGTGGGAGCCTCGACAGCTGAGGCTGGAGGGCGGCAGCTGGATGTTCAGGAGGAAAAACACTGTCGTTTGGTCCAATCACAGGTTTTTAGGCGAGAAATTCACAGTACAAAAGAAAAACTGTGAGTGACCTCTGAGAAACAAACTGGAGGCATCTTATCAGCTCCTTTGTCAAACAAGAAGAACGTCGTCATTTCTGGAGATGTTTTCTTCCTGAAATGCTTCGAGGAACAACAAGCTTCCAACCTTTCTAATTAACTTCAGCTGTGTTCACAATTAATCCATTTAAGCTTGAAACAGACAAATTTATCCAATCAAATAAAGAAGTTATTTAACTCGTGAACCTCATCAACATGTAAATATGCTGGTTTTTTTATATGCTGGGTGACACATGAGCAAAACGATCTGCCAACACCAAGTATGTCCACCTTCAAACTGCAGCAACAGCCTGAAAAGATTCAGACTTCTGTCATTCATCAGTAACAAATATAAAGAACCGATCCTGTCAGTGAGCAGGTCGGGACTTTATTTATCATTATTCTGGATCCCAGTTTGAACATGTTCAGTACCTTTAAATGTCAGAAACTGACATGACTTTGAGGAAATCTGTCTCATGTTGACCTGAAAGACTGTGTTTGTAAAGTCTTGTCAAAAAAAAAGGAAAATTCAATTGACTAAAAGGAGGAAACTTCTAGGAATACATCTTAAAGGCTGATTTACTCCAATATTCCAACCTGCCATTAGACTAGTTTTATCATGTTTGGACGGAGCTGTAGGTGAGCTGGTGTGCTCGAGCTGCAGCGAGTGAAGACGGGCAGGTTTAGAGAGCGAGGCGGGGACTTCGTAGATCTGTAAGTTCTGAAGGCAGCAACAGACATTTTCAGGTTAAATATGTTACTTTGATCAACAGAAATGAGTTTTTGTGGCTTAAATCATTGACCTGATTTCCACTGATTTCATTAAAAACAAAAAAACACCAAAATAACATCCCAGCCAGTGTCTGTGAAAAGTAAAACAATCATCAGATTTTTCACTTTTTACACAGTCCTTGAACTAACCACGGGGACAAGCTGTTCCTATGAAATGAGCTGATAATCATATTTCATTAAAATCACTTTTCTCATTTAGAAAATCGCCAAAATCAAACCGTTTCCACAAACCATCCATCCATCCATCATCTCTACACCTTAATCCTCACGAGGGTCGTGGGGGGCTGGAGTCTATCCCAGCTGACTCAGGGTGAAGGCAGGTTCACCTGGACAGGTAACCAGTCTATCACAGGGCTACACTTAGAGACAGACAACCAAGCACACTCACATTCACACCTACGGACAATTTACAATCACCAATTAACCTCAACATGTTTCTGGACTGTGGGAGGAAGCCGGAGAACCCGGAGAGAACCCACACTGCACGGGGAGAACATGGAGACTCCCAGGTGTCCTCACCGGGACGCGAACCGGCGACCTTCTTGCTGCGAGGCAACAGTGCTACCAACTGCACCACCCTGCAGCCCACTACAGGAGATGTGCAGAGAAAAGAGGAAAAATATCACATTTATAGAGGCATAGAAAAAGAAATAGTAAAATATCTCTAACATGTAGAGCCAAAGCATTTTTATTCCAGTGTTGGTAACACCTGTGGACACTCAGGAGAACGTCGTACATGGTGAGTCCATTTTTTACCCCCAATTTTTTCAAAAGCAAACAATCCAAGTACTTTTTTTTAATGATTTATGGAATTTTAATTTGATTGTACTGCAGTGAAGACGTTTCTGAGTTCTCTCTCCTTCTTCGTGGTCGTCCTGTTTCCACAGAGGTTTATGATGCTAACGAGCCGCCGGTGAGGAGAAATGTGACAGGAGTGAAACTGGCTGAGTGCCAAGAATTAAAGTGCTAATAATTTTTCCTGCAGTCAATGTTGTGGATTAAAACCGGCTTCATCTGTTCACAGTTTTCACTTTAAATGCTGATATTTTATTTATTTAACAATTTCTCTGAGGTTTTATACCAAAGGGATCAATAAAGTTTTATTCTATTCTATTTAAGTTTCTCAGGTTTGACACCGTGCACACGTTATCTGAGTCGTTGTTTTTGCAGAACAATCGTCGTTATCGCGGGTTTACGCGGCTCTTTCTGATCGGGGGCGTCTGCCAGCTTTAGTAGTTTGGTTTTTGTGTGTCAGTGTTTCACCCAGTTCAGCCGATGTGCGTGACACTGTGACGGGAGTAATTTATTCACAGCTTCAGGCCTCGTTAGGACCAGAGAGTACGTTACAGGATCAATGAGGCCTCTGCGTGATGCTGATTAAACTCCTCATCACTTCCGCAGTTTTGATTTCAACTGAAAATCCACTCTGCTGGCTGTTTTTGGTCTTTTTTTTTTATCTGCCTTTTAAAACCTCGTGTTTTGTTTTTGCTGCGTTTTGAAGCACTTTGCTACTTAAAATGTGAAAATTCATCTCCAAATAAATGAAGACTCTGGATTTTTGTTGCCTATAAACACCAACAGAGACGCTCACAGATCAACCTATGAGCTAAATATTCAATCAACAAACTCAACAGAAACAGATTTATCCATGACTCCTCTTCTAACGACAGCAGCAGAGAGTAATTAAGTACTTTTACTCCACAGAAAAGTACTTGTACTTCTCTATTTCATGCTACTTTCTGCTGGCGTTCTCTCAGAGCAAACAATCTCTTAAAACCATCAAATCAATTAAAGTTAAAGTGAACAAACTGATGCTGGACTTTGAAATTTGTGATCTTCTTGCAAGAAAAATAACATTTAATTATCAATCCAGCTTCAGCTCTACTCAGATTCACTGTCGAGCAACAGAAAAGTCTTAATTTGGAAAACGCTTCCAAATAAATAAAGAGGAATAAAAGAAGATTGATTCCCTTTAAAATGTCGTAGTTAAAGAATAAAGAGGCGTAACAAGGAAATGTGAAGCAGTTTTTAAACTGTGCTTCACTGCAGCATGTGAGTCAATGGTTTTAGTTGCAGCTGTAGTCAAAGCTGAAGTGAGCTTCAGCGTCTATCTGTGAGTGTGTTTTTCTGTTGCGTCCAGCAGAGAGCAGCATCACTCAGGACTGAAGGTGTGAATCTGAGGAAACAAGTCCAGGATTTATCAGACATCAGTGAAGTTAAAGATCTGCAGGAAGCTGAAGTCAAACTAAACCGTGACATTATGAAGAAAAAGTCAACAGGACGAGAAAAAAATGATCATAAAAAGAGAGAAAAGACAGAAAAGAGTCCTGCTACAGCTTCCTCATAATAAAGAATCAAACCACAACAGCACAAAGGATCCTTCAGCTCCTAAAAACCAGCAAGAACTCTTTCATTCAGTGTCCATTTATACTGCTGTTTGATTCAGGTTCACACGTCTGCCTTCAAATCAAGATCATTTTCCTTTTAACAAATATTATATCTTGAAAAAAATCACGTCAGAAAGTTGTTTTCTGGGTGGAAGGTGCAAATCCTCCACCGAGGTCAAGGCAATTTCTTGCAATTTTAACAAAAGCACTAAAAAAAAAAAAGTATGCTTTCTTCAAACCTCTCGGCTGAGTTCATGAGATTCAACATACAAATACCTGCTTTATGTGTTATTATGTCAAATGAAATGAAAAACTGGAAACAGAGAAAAGAGGAAATACAGATATAAGGGGATAAACTAACCAACAACACATAAAATAACACCTGGTTCGTCTTCCTGGTTGCTGTTCATCCTCGTTCAGCACTTTGGTTCAAAGCTTGTTGTTTTAAATTTATCAATAAAACTGTCTTGACATCTAAAACAACAGACAAAGATTTAAACTGCTTTCCAGTAGAGAAATAAAATGAACATTACAAACACCAAACAAGTTCAAACATGAAGCTGAAATCCTAAACTTTAATGCATATATTCTAAATACAAGTAAAAATGCGGTTTAGTTTTAAAGGAGCGTCGTTTTGGAAACACTTTCTAGAAATCAACTTTAATATGACGCATGATGATATTTTTTAGTGCTCAGAATGACAAAAGCAGGTAAAAACAGTTTGTTTTCTGCATTCAGAGTTATCAGCTCATTGAAACCGGCTTTGTCAGTTGACGCTGTTTTCCCTTTAAATGCTGATAATTTGAGTTTCTGAGGTTCGACATGGAGCACACGTTATCGGAGTCGTCTTTATCTGGTTCTCTGACAGAACTCAGCATCACGTCAGGTGGGATTTACAGACTCCACGAGGAAGTCATCCAACAAAAACCAAGATATCGCGCTTGTATTTTTTATTAAACAAGCAGAGAAGGAATGTTTTACATGCAATCTGTCTTTTCTTGCGGTCATAACAGTCTCAGGATGATCTCTAACTGTAATGTGATTAACTGGATTCAGAAGCAGACGTGAGCAAATTAAGACAAAAAAAAAAAAAAGGTTTCGGCAGCTTTTCTATCAGTTCTGACATTTTATACACACATGCATCAGCTGTGGCTCTAAAGTCTTTAAGATTATATATTATAATACGAGACCCTCTGACCCTCTGAAGGCCTGAAATACATGATGTTTGATTTATTTAGAAAGCCATTGCTGTTGATTTTTTAAATTTTTACCCCCTTACTTGCCTCCATTTCCGTCTTTTAATGTTTGTCCACTTGGACTCATTTTTAATCTCGGTTTTTAACTTATTTGCTTTATCTACACTTGATTCATTTATTTTCTATTCTACTGATTTGCCTCTTTAATACCTGTATGCTACTGTTCACCTGGTTTTCTATTATTTTTATGGTTTCCTGAAGGTCCTTGATGCATTC